CACTGTGGTTTTATATGAACTTGTCCTATTTGCCCTGAAAGATGTGTATTAATATTTGAAAGTTGTTGACATTTTTATATATTGTACAGTACAGTTGGTGTCGTCAATACTCACTCTCCAGTTGTGTGTGCACTGAGCCACCTTTAGCTTGAGGCTTTTTTGTAATGAAAGTTATAAGTCTGCTCTTTCTTTTCTCTTCTCCTCCTCTCATTTCTGTCTTTACCGTATCACTCCTTCCTTCCTTTATTTCTCCTCTTTTTTTGTTTTCTTTCCTCTCACCTTCCTCTCCTGTTTGTTTTCTCCCCTTCTCCTTCTGTTTCATTCTCCACGGGAGAATCTCATCTCTTTTGTCCTCCCTTTGAGCAGCAATAATGCAGTCCAGGCATGTTCTTTAAGTGCCTTAGGCTTTTTGTCACCCCACACATACACACTCACACACATCTAATTTTCCACATTAAACAGACTACAACTAAGAAAAAAACTACCCATACCCATAGATCATTTGCATTATTCCAGCAACTTGAAACACATCCACCACAAACCACAGCTCGACTCTCTGTAGAAGACATTTGAAACAATAATAATGTTCTTTAGTAAATCACAATAAGTTCTAACAGACATTGTACACTCTGCTGTCATGTCACTATTTTTTTTTCTTTCCTGTCCAGGTTGTCCATCTGAAGAAGACAGTCAGGAATGTTTGAATCCATTCAGCATCTTTCAGGGCTGCATGCGTCTCCTCAGTGTGGAGAACCAGCCAGTGGACCTAATCATGGTGCAGCAAAGACTGCTGGGAAATTACAGCCACCTGCTGATCGACATGTGTGGCATCATTGACAGGTCAGAACCACCAAAATACATCTCACTGGTCTACTATTGATCATTTCATCCTGTATAAGAAGGCCTGTGCAATTTCAATGTTTGGAGCCTTGATCCTTCAGGGATTGTGGCTGGGGGGAACCAGGGAGTGCTGACCACTGTACTAGGCACACATTGCTCTCTGTTCCAGACCTCATTTCTAGCATTACAGTAACTTGTGGCAGTATTTATCATCTCTTTACACCTAGTGATCAACACCGTTTTCCCAGAAGTGGGCTTTGAACTCTCAAGCCATCCTGGTTTCTTGTTTCCCTTACTATCAAAGCCAAAGACTCCTAGTCCTGCAGGTTCCTGGGCACATACTGATGCTTTCACCTTCTATAGTAGGAGTGGGTCTTTGCCCATTGGAACTATGTTACACACTCAGCCATTCTTGTACAGTTTGCTTCCCTAGTCAGTCTATGATGATTAAAGGGTTTCACGAAGAAACACATTATTCTTGTGTCTAAACTAAGCTAGGACTAAATACCAGGAGTGGGATTTGAACCCACGAGGACTTATGTCCATTGCATCTTGAGTGCAACGCCTTAACCACTCGGCCATCCTGGTTGTAGTCACATGTTGACACATAGAAAATACCTGGAGTGGGATCTGAACCGATCTGAAAGGATCTTCATTGCATCTGGAGTGTAACAATGTGATCTGTTCCAACCGTTTAAGAGCTTTGAAACACAGCATGTTGATTTGATAAGAATCCAAACGGCTCAACTAATCAATAACATGAAGGCTCAGTACAAAAGGTCAATCTGTTCAAAATTCTGATCACAAAAGAGCATGCACTGTAGGTTTTTAAACAGCTCGTTTGGTCATAACACTCATTAGTGCTGCACAAGAAGTGAAGTAATGTGCAATATAAACTCTTCATGTCATCTTAAATATCAGAGACTAAACTTTTGTAAAAATCCACCAACCCCAGATCTTCTTTTAGAGTTTATCTTTGTCATACCAGCAGTGTGATTAGAACCCACAAGGACAGGCATCCATTGCATCTTAAGCGAAACACCTCAACTACTCAGCCATCTCAGCTCAACTGCTGTTTAGCACATCATCCTTTGCTCCTGAAACAGTCAGATGTCCTGGTGCACTTCACTATGAGAATGATATGTCACTACCCATTCTGTCCATGTTAGAAATATGAGAACACATGATAGTATTGAATATTTGAAAATTGACACAAAATAAGAGTTCAGAGTTAAGAGCAAAGCTGCAGTTAAAATAAGCTTTTTGTAACTCCAGACCAACAGCTGGAGTCGTGTTCTGTCAGTCAGAGGTTTCTTGCCATTTTGTTATTTTTCCCTCTGAGCTGCCTCAATTGTTTTGTCGTCCAACTTTATTAGAGACACAACAATTGTGGAAGTGAAATGTAATTTTTTTTTTCTCCTTTGATTTTTTGCCAGAGTCATTTTTTTGTGAGGTAAGGCATGTAGTGTTGGATCCAGGAAAGTAACAAACAAACACGCACAAAAAATGAAAAGCAGGCACTCAAATCGGACATGGGGAGAAAAATGTGAATGTAAATGTGTTTTGAGTTCCCTTGACCTTCCAGGTCATTGCTTCACACGTTGTTTGGGAAACAGTAAATCCTGAGAAATGAAGAGTTTTCGTAGAATTTTAATTAGACTTTGGCGTGTAGGCATGGTTGTCAAAGAAGTGAAAGAGGATCCTTTGCACAAGGGGATATTCTGTTGGTCACGGATAAAATTAACTATCCACCAAGTTTGAGTACGTTTCCCATCGATAATCTGTGAATAAAATCATACAATTTGTGTGTTTTTGTTCAGCAATCAGTGAGGCCTGATTTCAACATAATTAACCTAATTTTTAATTTGTAGTATACAGGAAATTCATCCAATTCAGCACCCCACATCACTACTTTCAAAATCGGTGAATAAAGCAGCAACAGTTTTGCCTTCTTGCCTTTTCTTCAACAAGAAACACTTATCTCAGTACACCGTGAACCTAGTCCACTTGTTGCATAAAAGCCAATAAGGCAGCAGGACCTTACTGTACAAAAACACACATTTATTTTCACCTCCACATATAACAGAGAGCTGCAGAAAGACATGCAACACAAGAGAGGAGCAAGAGTTCATCATTGTTGTATGTCATTATTTCCATTTTCCATAGTCATCTCATCTCAGATCAAGAGAGAAGTCATGTGGAGAATAACCAATTGCCTGCTGTCTCAGTGTCACACTTAAAACACAGCGCAATTAAAGCAACAATTACTGTATAACATTTACAAACTCTCCTCTAGGCAACAACCAGCAGACACACACTCCCCCCTTCTCTCTATGTATATATATATATAGATATATATGCACATCAGCCATCCTCGCTAGAGAAGGAGAATCTGCTCCAGTGGCTTTAATTAAATATTCCTTCCTTTTATTACGTTATTATTCAGCAGAATTCAATTCCTAGACAGATCTGAATGCTCACTGTAACAGACCAAGAGGCAAATCATGGCTCCCTCTGTGCTTTCCCTCACTCTGTAACTCTGTAGATTATAGTCGGGCTCTATAGGATATGATACTGAAAGGAAAGTGGAGTTACAGACACAGCTTCCATAGGCTTCTCGTACCACAGAGCAGGGTGTTAACTCAGTGTTAGTGTGTCTGTGTGCAGACTTAATAGCAGTGCAACCCCATGCAATGAGTACATAGAAGCAGCCATGCATTTAATAGACTTGACCCATCCGTCTTGTAGCAGGGCTGGAACTGAATCAACACTCAGATCTAATTTACTTCAGTTCTGACCCGAGTTCACATTACAAGCAACATGATCAAACAGTCATTTGAAGTGCATCCATTTCCTGTAGAGGTGAACAACCTGGGAAATGAGGGTAACAACAACCTTCTATCAACCATTAAAAGCACTCCAGTTCTGTACCTGCTACCTCTGGAAAAATGTGTAAGCTCAAAAGTGATGAAATCAACACTATTAATCATGCAGGATGTTCTAAATGGCTCAAATAACACAGGGGACACCAACAACCTGTTTATGTTTGTTTTTAGCTCCTAGCATTTGCTACAGATGAAAACTCTGTCATCCAACTAAATAAATGACAGCATTTAATAAAGAAAATGCCAAACAGTAGAAATACATCATACACAGTCAATAACAGCTGCAGAACACATCAACATAGTCAGACGTCTTAACTTCACAGTGACTCAGGATATAGCAACAAGCTGCAGTCATTAAGGATCAGAGGAGCTGTACTCTACTCTGTAACATTGCAGCATTAATATCCACACAGGCATGTTCTTAATACCAGGAGTGGGATTTGAACCCACGAGGACTTATGTCCATTGCATCTTGAGTGCAACGCCTTAACCACTCGGCCATCCTGGTGACATTACTGT